GAATGATCAAATGTATGTAAATGTAAAAAGTTGTAAATTAAACAGATTATTGGAGTACATTTTACAAGAAAATACTACTTCAGGCTTTCTACTTCAAAAATTTACATTTAATTCAATGTGTTACTTAGCGTTTCTCTAGTTGAAATTTACTAGCAACTGAGTGAAAAAGGTTTTAAATGGTGTATTTGGGCACTTTGTGGTACACATTTTTCCATTAAATGTGAAGCACAAAAGTTTTTTTTTTTTATCGTGACTCAGTTCTATATCTTCTAAAACCCCTAAACAAATAGTCACTTAATTCTCACAGTATTTTTGGTGCAGTCATGCTTCGAGGACACTGGAGAGTGTCTTTATCTCTGGCAGTAGAGGACAGTCACACTGACAATTTGGCCATCACTGGCCATTACAGGCATTGATTTCCACTACATCTGCTGCTGGTGCTGCTTTCACCACGTCCCTCTCACTGAAACCACCATCTCCAGAAGCTTTGCTTTCATCTACTGATACTTTAAAGAGACTGGAGAGCATTCAGTGCAATTACTCGTAGGTGAAAAGCCCTTACACAAATCTAAGCACTTGTAACATTTCAGATGACACATTTATACTATATTTTTACTCTTCTGAAGAAAATGTGAAAGTGCACCAAAACCCATTAATATTTTATTTCAGTAGTTTCCAAGACAACATTTATCATTTTAGTTTAAGTTTAATTTGAAGTACTAAAATAAACTAAAAGCAATAAATAAAAATGAATAATAAAAGGTATTAATTTAAAAGCTAATAATAAAAATGACAAAAACACAACAAAATTACTAAAACATTGACTTAAATTAAAGTGAAAGCTAAATATAAAAAATAAAATCTAATTCAAAATATGAAGAAAAAACAATAGTATATGGCTGGGGTCCCTCATTCAATGAAAATTAATAGCAAACCTGAATGACTCAAATCTGACTGTTTTAGCAGGTATAAGACTAGCATTTTTAACAATATCTTTAATATCACAAAAATATCAATCACATTGGAGAAATGGGACAGAATAAAAGCAGTTTAACTGACCAATGCAGAATGAGTCAGTAGCAAAAAAAAGAGCAAACAGGAAGAAAATCAGAAAAAATGGAATTATCAGTGATTTTTTTTTGTCAATTTCAAAATGAAAACCAACGGTGTTATATTTTTTATAATAATTCTTTAACAGAATTATTAAAAGTAGTTATGTTTGACCACAACATAGTTTATTCAAACACAAAGTGCATATCACTGCAGAACAGCGAGAACTACGGGATGTTAGTGCGTCTACATGAACATGTCGTCATATCCTGGGGGAGGCATGTGATCAGGGTCCGGCCTGAAAGGTAGAGCAAAACAAATTTATCAGAGGTGAGGATATGATGTCAAATGAGGTAATGGCAGTTTTACATCTGAACTCAAACTGTAAAGATCCCATTAAAGCTCTTACCCAGGCCTGTGTCGCCCAACTGGCCCGAAGGGGTCAAAGCGGGCACCAGGGGGCACAGCGCCGGGAGGAAGGACTCCAGGAATACCAGAGGAGGGGTCAAACCCTGAGCGA